TTAATTTTTATACATTTGGAAATTATTTTGATATAAAGTAAGAAATTGCTTAACTTTTAAAATATACACTTACTGTTTTAATTTTTATAAATTAATAGACATTTTTTCAGTAGGTTTACAGAAAAATTGAATAGGAAGTACAGTTCCCATATCCTCATCTCTTCTCCTTATTAACGTCTTGTATTAGTGTGGGCACAGTTTTTAAATTGACAAGCCATTAATTCATTGTTATCTAAAGTTCATGCTTTGTATTAGGATTTCCTTGTTAGTGTTGTACTTTGACAGATTTGACATACACATTTGTTTTGCTGCATGTATTCATCTTTGCATATCTTACAGAATAGTTTCACGGCCCTAAAAATATTCTATGCTGCACTAATTCATCTATTCTTTCTTCTCCCTCCCCCCAACTCTTGGAAACCATGGATCTTTTTGCTATCTGTTCATATCTTCTTTCTATCTGTTCATGTCTTTTTTATTGGATTTTTTTTCTTATTTTTGAGTCTTATAAGTTTTTGGATACTAGTCCTTTATTAAATAAGTGTTTTGCACATATTCTTTCCTCATCTGTAACTTGTCTTCTCTTATACCCTTCCCCACATTTCTCATAGAGTAGAAATGTTACTTATGGTATGTTATTACATATTCTTGAATCTGTGTTTGACTTTCAGTTCTGATTCTGAATTAGCATTGCTTTATTTATTTAGTTTGAAAATTGTTTTATGTTTTGTGATTTTTTTTCTGTTCAGGATGATGTAAGTTATCACCACCAAAACCTCAAAAATTTCTTTGCCTGCTTGAAAATTTTCTTCCTTCAGTATTCCCTTGTATAAGTCATTTACTTTTCCATTCCTGGGACATAATACCCAACGGACACCCTCAGTTTAAAGGAGGAGTGGTTTATTTAGCTTACAATTTCCAATGGGGTTCAGTCCAAAGTCTGCTGGCTTCAAGGCAGAAGCAGCAGGGTGAAGGGCCCTAGTGGAGAACAGCTGCTTATCCTATGGCTGCCAGGAAGCAGAGAGAAAAGGGAGGAGCAAAGGACAAGAATTCCCTGTTCCAGGTCATGACCCCAGTGACCTATCTCCAGCCAGGCCTTACCTCCTCCTAACAGCACATCAATGGATGAATCCACTGCTGAGTATAGCATCTCCAGGATCCAGCCACCTTCTAAACACAGGACCTCCCCCCCCCGCCCCGCCCCCAAGGTATATCTGGAATTGTCCATTTCCTCCTTGCTCTCAGTGTTTGTAAACTTTGAATTCTAGTAAGAAAATAACTAAAGTAATGAAATCTTTTTTACTTAAAATACTACATACATTTAGAAACTTCTGAAATAAATGATCTTAGAGATTTCCAAAGATTTTTAAAATAGGATTCTGCTCTGTTCTGTTGGACTAACTGCATCTCTTCAAGTTTAATTTTTGAGAATTTTTTTCACATACATATTGGAGTGTTTTGTAATTTAGATCATTGTTCAGAAATTGAGCTTGTAGAGACTCAGCTTCGTCCAAAAACATGGAAAGCACTTGAAAACTATAAATGGAAAATGAGGAATAGATTGGAATAAGACAGATCTGATAGGTTCGAGTAAAATTAATGTTTTCAGTTGTGAGTCATCTAAAATGTAGTTTTCCCTTAATATGTACTGTATTTTAGCATTCTTTTGCGTTTTTCTCTGCTTATTTGGTTTAGTACATCATCATTTTCAAAGAAAATGATTTTGTTTCAGGGTAGTAAATAAAAATATAACTGGCCATTTTATCTATTTTTGGTAGTGGGAATTGATCCCAGGGCCTTCCCACTGAACAGCATCCCCAGTTCCTTTGTTTTTTAATTTTGTGACAGGGTCTTACTAAGTAATGAGTTGCCCAAGCTGGGCTTGAAGTTGCCTCAGCCTCCTAGAGTGCTGGGATTACAGGCATGTGCCACCACACCCAGCTATAATGAACCATTTTAATTATGTCTTTAGTGTATCTGGGTGAACTATATGGAGCTTTAGATGTGTATGGAATCATTCTTAATCTATTAAGTGGCAGTCCTTTTGAATAGTTCTGTACATTCCCATTTTCTTTACATTTTCACAGATAAGATTTTAGTTTAGAGAGGAAGTCAGATGTTTGCTAGGTTTATTGGAGGACTCTTATTTATGCTGGAGAAGAGATTTGACAGTTCCTGATAAAATATTGACTGATGTGCCTTAAAGCATTATTTTGCTGTATATTTTAGTTTTTGTTGTATGTGTATAAGTAGCTATTATTGGCATTGGATATTGAAGCCTACTAATTGACTTTCATAAACCAAAATCGTGGAAGAAATTTTTATTGTCAAAGAGGTGATTGATTTAATTTTCCAAATTTTGTTCATGTTTAGTAATAGGAATTTAAAATAAATAAGCGCTTAAACTTCTGTGTAGCATCTTAAACTATAGGCATCTTTTAAAGTTTGTCTGTCTTCCTGCCTGCCTGCCTGCCTCCCTTCTTTCCTCCCTTTCTTCCTTCAGTATTGGGGATGGATCCTGGGACTGTTGGCTTCTTTTTAGGTTTTTAAATTGAAGAACTGTGTGTGTTATATAATTTTTTTCCCTCAAATTTCTCAGTATTAGTGTTGTATCATATCTCACCATTGAATTCTTCTTCTTTATTCCTCTTTGACAAATTACTCTATTAGTATTTATTGGTTGAATACTTTAAGTGTTTAGAGTAAACTCACAAAGTTCTTTTGAGAATAACTTGAGTGTCTCTGTGTATTTTGTTTCTTTTGGATATAGTGCTGGGAATGGAACCCAGGGCCTCAAGAATACTAGCAAACACTTGTCAACTGAACTACACACCAGAATAACGAAGTTTTCATGACTTTGGCATGTTGGATATACCATTTGTTTTTATTTTCTCTTTGACTTCTGTTGGGATAACTTTTTTAAAAATTTTAAGCTAAGTATCTTATAGGGCTCTTTTATTCTCCCCAGTAAAGTCACGGTAGAAATCATTTTGAATCCTAGACTGTCATTTTGTAGAAATACTTTGTTACAGTGTTAGTCTAACCTTGTATTAGTCACTTTCCCATTGCTGGGACAAAGCACCTAACACCCACAATTTTAAAGGAGGAGTTTATTTTGGCTCACAGTTTCTAGAGGATTCAGCACATAGTTGGTTTGCTACAAGGCAGAAATGACATGGCAGAAGGTCATGGTAAAGGAAAAGTGCTCATCCCAAAGCAACTAGGAAACAGAGAAGGGCAGAGCCAGGGACAAGAATATTCTCAAGTCAGCCCCTGGTGACCCACCTCTTCCAACCAAGGCCCACTTCTGAACACCAGACTTCTAGGGACATTTTAGGTCAAGACCATAACAAACCCTTCATAGTAAAACCTTGGTTTGTAAGCATAATTTGTTCCAGAAACATGCTTGTAATTCACAGAAGTTGTACATTTATCAAAGCAAATTTCCCCATAGGAAATAATGTTCCACAACCCAAAAGTCTTCATATAAAAATTATTACAATACTGTAATATAAAATAATAAAGAAAAATAAATTGAACCTGCACTTACCTTTGAAAACCTTCATGGCTGGTGTGAGGGAGACAGGAGGGTTATTGTATAGGATGACTTTCATGAACACTAACAGAATCTCTGCTATTAGCACAATGGAATCCTCTTTTTCCGTGCAACTTCTAACAAGAAGCCTATCCAATGACAGTTGCTTTTTGCCTCCTTTTGAGGATTTTGCAGAAACGTGACATTGTGTTGTCGTTGAACAGATTCATCACTTGCACTGCTACAGCCTTATTTGGGTGGTGCCTTTCTACAAAATTTTGTGCTGTTTTGCCACATTTTACACATCTCCCTAATACTGCTTGCAGTGAGGGGTTCCTCTGCCTTTTTCTCCTCCTCCGCAGACAGAGAGCTCCATAACTTCTTGCATTTGACATTCGGTATCAAGTACCTCTTGTATTGCAAGACTTGGACGTTTATCAAGTTAAAGCCTGTTAGAAATATTTGCTTGTTTTGTGGAACACTTGCAGAACAAATTATTCACAATCCAAGGTGTTTTTAGTGAGAAGTTACTCTGTCTAAATGTTAGAGTTACTGTGCACGATTCTGTTCATGAAAACAGTGCCCAACTTTAGTTAAATAACTCCTTCCCTTTATTAAAAAAAAATCAAGCAAAATCATACCAGTAGAACAAAGAACTCATAGGATGAATGTAAACATTATATAACTGCCACTCAGAGTTTCTGAGCAGTGTGAATAACTACTGTAAATATACTAAGTTCAGGGGGCTGGGGATTTAGCTCAGTGGTTTCGCCACCTGACTGCCAAGCACAAGGACCTGAGTTCGATCCCCAGTACCAAAAAAATATATATACTAAGTTCATATTCCAGTTGATAGCAAGATAACTTGATCTTTTAGATTAGACTGCTATTTATAAGTAAATTTACAGTTTGTTTTAGGGTTTTGACATGTCTGATTGTTTCTAAAATACTGTAAAATAACTTATTCTTTTAAAATATTCAGATTTATAAATACCTAAAAATCCTCTATTTCTTGGATTTTAACATTTGACTTTGGTTAGGAAGGCAGTTAAAACTACTTGAGGGATCTACACTCAGGGCCTGGATATTGCTGGTAAAGATACTAAACATTGATAATGAATTATATCTGCAGAATTCATAATGATGATATTAGCTACCATCTGTTAGGACCCTGTTAAATGCTATTGTACTAAGCACTTTGTTACACTCAGTCTTTGCAACAGTACAACAAGAGGCAAGTTAATAAGAGGTTTAGTAGTCAATTGGGAGTAGCAATGGCATTGGGACTTTTTTTACACTGTGCCCTGCAGGTTTTGATATGATTGCAACATAATGAAGTGAGGAAATATTCACTGTTGAAGTACATTGTAAGATTGGACTTACTTTTTTCTAATCAGAGATTTTGCTTTTGATTTGTTTTAGTATTACATAGTTTAGAAATATAAATACTTTTTCTTGTCTCTAGATATTCAAGAATTTTATGAAGTGACCTTACTGGATAATCCAAAATGTGTAGATCATTCAAAGCAGTCTGAACCAGTTCAACCTGTGAATACCTGGGAAATTTCTAGCCTTCCAAGCACTACGGTGACTTCAGAAACACTGCCAAGCAGCCTTAGTCCCAGTGTAGAGGTAAGATTTTAAAAATTCCTAAAACTGTTTTTCAGTGATCAATGTATTTGGACTACTAGGTTTTAAAAATTTTACTAAAATGGATATTTTGTGGAAATTATTTGTAGCAGAATATAGAGAATGGAGTTAAAAGTATTTTTGAAAAGTTTAGAATCTGTTACTTCTGTTTTGTTTGTTAGTTTATTAAGACAGAGTTTTGCCATGTGGTTCAGGCTGGCCTTGAACTCCCTATATGGCTCTGTCCTCAAACTCTTGATGATCCTCTTGCCTCAGTTTCCTGAGTGCTGAGATTTCTGAGATTACAAGCGTGCGCCACTGTGTCTGCTGTGTTGCTTCTGGGTTTTTTGTTTGTTTTTATTGTTGTTGTTTTGTTTTGGGTACCGGAGGTCGAACTCAGGACCTCAGACTTGCCAGGCAGGCTCTGTGCCACTGAGCTAAGTCTCTGGCCCTTTCTGTTTTAAAATATTATAATGTCTGAAATAGTTGTTTTAGACTATTAAAAACATACTTTGCATGATAGACTTCAATAAGGCTCCATTTGTGTGCTAAGTAAAATGGAAATTGTACTTTGAAGAGATGATTTTACTCAGACATTCTTTCCTAGAAATAGAATATAGTTCTATGGTTCTGAGCCCTTTAGTTATCTCAAGGCTTCTCTGTTCATTGACCTGAAGGATTGCATTAAAACTCACGAGATACTGATCAACAAAACTTGTGATCAGCATTGATATCTAGATTTTTCTATAGTTAAAACTTTTTTTTTAATATAGTAACTTTTTTTCTTAAAAATTGTGCAGTACTGTTGCTAGTAGAGTTGAATATAGGGTAGTGGAAATGTGAAACATTTTCTGTTCTGCCTGAGAAGCATTAGTCATTTGAAAAGCTGTCTTTTGGCTTTATTCTAGTTCCTTCTAGTTAGTACTAGGCAGTGCCTAGAAAATTAAATCTGCTTCTTTTGGGTGAGTAATAAGGAAAAGTGGGAGTGGATAGCAAGCAGATAGCACTTTGATAATAAGGTAGTTTCTCAGTAACATATAACTCTAGAATTCTAGAGCAAGATGAATCAGAGCACATCCGATTCTTAATTTTAAAGATGAGAAAACTGAGATCCAAAAGGAAATGACTTGACCCGGCTTATTTGGTTAGTTGGGGCAAATCTGTCTTTGGATTCCAGATCTCTTAACACCCCGTTAATACTTCTCTTTAGGAATCCTGGTTTAACTTTATATGTTTTTCTTCAGTTAGCGAGTCCAATGTTACATCCTTTTTTGTTTGTTTGTTTTTCTGGTACCAGGGATCTAATTCAGGACCTTGTGCTTGCGCGGCAGACGGTGGCACCACTGAGCTAAATCCCCAGCCCTATCCTCTCATTTTTAAAATTGCTTTTTCTTGGATAATTTTTATTACTGTTCCCTTCTTTAGTTGCTATATCATTGTTTTTGTGATAGTTCGTTTCTCTGATCTGTTTCAAATGGAATTAAATATGTGTACAGCCAGTTATTGCTATGGGTTATATAGTGCCTCCAAAAGTCAGATGTTGCCAGTGTGATAGTATAGAGATACGGAGCCTTTTAGAGATGATTAGGCCACACTGGCTTCTCTCTTCTAATAGGATTAAGGATCTTAGGAAGGCTTTAGCTCTGCCTTCTGTGTGAGGATGAAGCAGGGAGACTCTGACCAGACCAAATGATGGACCACCACAGGCCTAGGTCTTAGACTTCCCGGTCTCAAGAACTGTGAAAAATACATTTCTGTTTTTCACTGTGTCTCAAGTGTTCGGTTACAGCAGCACAAAATGGACTAAAACAGTTACACAATTCATATTTTCACATTTTTAGTCCTAAGTTTAAAAACTTGTTTATGTAATAAAAACTTCAAGAGCACTGACTTGCATATTTAATTACTATTTTTTAAATTGTCTGATCTATGATTATAAAGCATAGAATTCTTATACTCAATTTGCCTATTTTTATAGGACATTGTTTAGATAATGGCTGGCTCTCTGCAACCAAAGTGTATAATTAAGGTAAAGTAAGTAGACACTTTTGTAGGTTTGACGTTTATTTCCATATAGGTTTTGGTAAGAAAGATCAACAGTACCTTGAATTTTATCAGTATTGGAAGGCCAAGGGTATATCTCAGTGCTAGATACTTGCCTAGAATGTACAAAGCTTTGGTTTCCCCATCCACCAATATTAGAACATTTCAACTTCTGTAAAATTATGAAACACTTTTACCTCAAGTGCTGTGTGCAGCTCTGGTTTCTGCACCTCCTAAAAGATACTTTCTGGACATGATAGAGGGACTTCAAATGAAGATAAGAATAAGAACTTTCATATGGTAAATGTTAGATCTCAGTAGTTTGGAAAATGTGTGAGATGGATGGGTGTAAAATCAAAAACGTTGTGTTAGGACTTACACGTGGAAAATCCTCTAATAATTTGAAATCTGTACCTGCTCATGGATAGACTTTAAAGGAAACATTGAGATGTGTCCATTAAGTCCTGGACTTTTAGAAAGGGGGGAAATACGTGTTTCAAACGTGAGTGATCCAAGGTCACTTACTATGAAGTAATGTTTTGGCAGAGATGACAGAATACCCTTGACAGATGTTATTCTGAAAATGTAAATAGTTTGAAACATTGATGGATGGCAGTTAACAGTAACTCAAAAAATCTCAAAATGTTTGAAGATTTAATTTCTATTTTTTAATATTTTATTAGTACATATTAATATTACATGATGATGGAGTTTATTTGGGGAAGTTGTTACATGTATTTAACATTATCTTAATCAGTTTCAACCCCCTTGCGCCTCTCTTCCATTCCTGCTCTCTCCTGCTTGTCCCATTCCTACTTGAGTGTGGTGCTGGGGATGGAATTCCTTAAAAGTCTAAACACAGAAATGCTGTTTGATCCAGCTATACCTAACTCCTGATTGGTCTTGTCTACTGCCTGGACTTGCAATTGACTTTTATATTTGGCTTATTGAAGTTTTTATTTCCAGGATGTATGCTTGGTTTTTTTTTAAGAACTTCTCTTCATTGAAATGGCCTTTCATATCCTGTGTTGTCTTTCTTAATCAATTCAGGTGCTTATTTGTACCTTCTTTGAGCTCATTGATCAGTTTAGTTATTGATTCATTCAGCTGCCTATTAGTCTGTTTGATTTCATTTGTCACCTTAATTCCAGTTTTTAAAATTTTTTGGAATTTCATCCACTTCAGTATCTGGGATTAGCTTTTAGGGAGTTGTATATTTTTGGAGGTGTCATGTTGCCTTGTTTTCTCATTTTAGTTGTGTCTGAAATTTGCAGCTCTTTTGGGAAGGATAACTCATACACTGTCCACTGTAGGTCCAGATCCTGTTCCTCAAGGCTTTACTGTGCTGAACCACTATCCGCAGCTTCAGGCCACTACCTAATGTATAGACTACATCCTGAGGTACCAAGAGTAATTTCTGTTTTTAGGGTACTGTAAGAGAAGGTACATATATTCTCCTATTACCCATCCATTCTGCTTCATTCAGATGGAAAACTTTACTGAGTGATCGCTGACTTGATCTCTTGCTTTGATCATGTTTATGACTGAAAACAGATAATTCACTGATGCAAATTAAAGCAAATGCAAAGAAAGTTTTTATTGGACTATAATGTCAAAAAAGTCTGGAAATATTAAAATTATTTTATCTGAAACAATTTCAGTGATTATACTTATTTAGGTGATTTATACTTTAGGTGATTATACTTATACACAAATTTTCAGATAAAAAAGAAATAATATTTTTTGGACAAAATTACAAGCAGCATGGTCTTGCCTCTTTCACTTCATGTTCGCTTTTGCAGGACTGTCAGGAAGCATTTCGCAAAAAGCATTTGAGATTGAGCAGTTTCTACAAGGAACTTTTTGTCTTAATTACTTTCTCGTCGATGAGACATGATACCTAACACTCACAACTGAAAGATCAGGTTTATTTTGGTTCATGTTTCTGTTCCTGGTCAGCTGGCTCCAAAGAAGAAACAGCATGACAGAGAAAAAGCTGCTCACTCGTGGCAGACCTGAAGCAGGGCGAGAATGAACGTAGGGAGGAGCAGGGAGGGAGATAAATTCTTCCAGGTAGGATCCTATTTATATACAGTTTGGGGAGCAGAAGTGAGGTAAAAGTTGAGTAAGCTGGCAAGAATGAAGGACAGGAAGCCAAAGGTACAAGGTTTTGCTGGTACTGCTCACAATAAAAACCATGTATAGGGCTGGGGATTTAACTCAGTGGTTTTGCCGCATGCTGCACAAGCGCAAGGACCCGAGTTTGATCCCCGGTACCAAAAAAAAAAGAAAAAAAAAGCATATATAAAGATCTGAGGGTGAATGTTGGAATGAGTCTGGAATACAGATCACAAGTCTTAATAATGTGTTTAGTCTTGTAATTTATGTTTCAGAGACCATGCCAATTGTTTTATCACACATTGTATAGTTACCTGTTTCCTCGTGTTATTTAACTTATTCTACTGTATCCTGTATTTCTGGTAACAAAGCTAGGTGTAAAGGTTGATTAGACTCATGTTTGGTAAGCAGACTTCATAGTGACATACACTTATGCATTGCTTAATGATCCATTGTGTTCTTAAAAATGTATCATTGGGCTATTTCCTCATTGTGAGTACATCGTAGAATGTACTTAAACAAATTAGATGACTACATTGTCGCTAGGTGTGATGATACCTTATAGACCATCTTATATATGGTATATGTGCAAATCTTGTCTGAAATATTTTGTAGCATATGACTATTTCATAATGCCTCATAGCAGGAAATATACAGTATGAAGTTGTTGCACTTGTGGAGCAAAGTTTGATTATTTAACAGGGGTGATCTCCAGTTTCTCCATTCTGATGGTATGTTTTCCTTTGCAGTTATGCAGTATAGTATGTATGGGGTAGTCTTTTGCCAGCTAATGTTGAATTTTCACCCATTCATGAATTTTATTGAATCAGCTATTTCATTTG